CCTCACTGGCTAAGTTCACGCTCCAGCTATCTCGCTTAATACCTATGTGATCTTGGAGTGCCTGGATGACTCAGTTGAGCACCCATCTCCTGATCTCGGCTCAGGTCATGATCTCACAATTGTGAGATCGAGCTCTGCATCCGGCTCTGCGCTGAGGATGCAGACCCTGCTAGGGATTCTCTCTCTCTCTCCCTCTGTCTCACTGCCCCTCCCTGCTCATGCTCACTCTCTCTCTCTCTCTCTCTCAAAATAAATAAATAAACATAAAAAAAAAAACCTGTGCGATCTTGGACAAGTTACTTAACCTCTCTGAATGTCAATTGCCTTGTGTGTAAAAAAGTGACAATACCTATACCTCAATGGGTGGCCATAAGGATCACATGAGAGAACAAACGTCTAAGCATGCTGTATTATAGAAAGTGCCATATACATTTAAAGTACTGTTGATATCATTCCTATGAAAGCTTGACAAGCAAACCCCCTCACATCATGAACATAAAAACAGCTCAAAAGATGATCAGGGCATAGAGGAATTTGGAATTTTGGAGTACTTGTTCAGAAATTCACTCTTCCTTTCTAGTAGTTATATAAGCCAAAAAGCCCCATGAGGGTTCCTGGTTTGCATATAATTTTTTCAATCCTCATGACTTGTTCTTTTTGCTTAAAATACTAGTCAGACCTGAGGCCGACCTTCCATTTTTGAATCCTCAAGTTGGATTAGGATGTAGGGGAGAAATACCAAAACTCAGAAGGGAAATTCCTAAATACAAAATAAACACAAAACCACACAAAACCGCCCTCGACAAGGCCTTTGTTTGTGTAGGGATCACACGCCAGGGTAAGGTTCCTAGGTGGTACTGACCCCCATTTCCTGGTAATCTGTCCCGCAAAAGGCATGTCTGAAGGCACACTGGGTGCTCCCTGTGACTGAAGGGCAGGCAACCCCAATGTCCCTTCCAACCATGTAAATACAGGCAACATCATCTACCTTTACCACTCCTACCTACCCACCTCAATCAGCCTTTCTATGGTGAATTTACAGCACACACTGGCCTGGTATTCCCTCTGCTGAGGTGGAACACTTACCCCTTGGTAGTGGGGATTTGTTGGCAAGAGTCATGGTTAGCTTTCATTTCAGGTGGCCTCCCCACCAAGTCTCACCGTGGCCATCTCCTGCCCGTGGAAGGCAGGTACCATATCACATTGATGTCTGTCACTCTACTCCTGGGCATATTATAGCCCCCCAATAAATGTTCACATCATTGCACTGACTTCTGCCTGCAAACTCTTTTGCATTTCCCAGGTGACATCAAAGGGTCTTTGCCATCCATGCATGCATCTGGTCTTACTAAGTCATTTCATTCATTCATTTACTCATTCATTCAACACTGAGTAATGTGTCATGTGCCAAGCACAGTGCTAGATACAAGCAGAAGAGTGACCAACAGCAATAGACATTCTCAGACTGTACAAAGGGCAACGGAAGCATAAAGGCAAGTTCATTCTTAGTTATGCTTTGGGACGTAGTAGGGAAGGGAAAGGCTTCCTAGAGGAAATGATATTTCTGCTGGGCCTAGAAGGATGAACAGGAAGGATGTCCATGGACAGAGAAAGGAAGAGCAACAGCTTCCTGTATGGGAACAGCATGAACATAGAAGGAGAGAAGCCAGAACATGTATCTGTCATCTTGTTGCCTGGGGCTAGTGTTTTGGAGTGGGGAAAGGTGGATGAGACCAGAATCTGGACTAAGGCAGGATAAGAAAGGTCCGAATGCCATGCTGAACGGGTTTATTTATCCTACAGATGACAAGGACCCAACATAGATTTCTGGGCAACAGCATGCCATGATTTGTTTTTACCAAGACTGCTTATCATACATTAATTTGTCCATTTATCTGCTCTCTGCCACAAGGCTGGGAGCATGTGTTAACCAGGGACAGGGCTTCACCTCTCTAGCACAGTGACTGAACATAGGAGGAGATTATCATGGGAAGATCCAGGAGAAGTTCATATTCCAAAGACAGGTGAGAGCTCACTGTCCTCCATTACCTGCTCCTGGAAGGTGAGCATGGAGAACAGGTCATGGGTAGGGGCATGGAGACAACACAGTGGCTGTGTCCATGGGGCAGCGAGGCTAGCCTGACTCACTTGGTGAGGAGTAACAGAATATAAGAGTTGAGAAAAGCAGAGGCACCTCACAGGGAGTGAAAATCAGGGAGAAAACTGTATTCGTGTAAAATGAATTTTATGTGATTGGAAACAACATGGAATCAAGAAGTCCCCTCTAAGCTACCAGCTGGGCTTTCTACATGACCCCCTCCAGCTGGTGGAAAGTTCCAACCGGGGGCATGCCTACCCACATTCTGGCTCCAGGAAGTGTCTACCCAATCATGAGGTAATCCAGCTACTCATCACTTCCTGAAGTTGCTCAGCTGAGCCTGGACCAAGGGACTCACAGATGGGGAGGAAAGGTCAGAATGCTCACAGTGTGCACAACTCTAAGAACAGGAGGCCGAGACGGGGGTTAGCAGAATCACCCTACACACAACCGGGGGAAACCCAGTGACCATCTCCAGGCCAAGGAAAGCATCCACACTGAGCCCAGGAGCCAGACCTGCCCCAGTAGCAACGAATCTCAGCTCTGCTGGCTAATCGAGAATTGCATTAGCAGTTTTGTTTTTCTAGGCTGGCAGGCCCAACATACTGTAACAAGAGTTGTGTTTCCTTTTCCTCTATTCTGGGAGGGGAAATAACAATAGCAGGTATTATTACAGAGCACTGTCTGGTACACAGCAGGTAATGCTGCTTCTCTAACCCTTAACAACCACACCAGGTAGGGATTATTATTTGCATTGAAGCCGAAAGACTGAGGTTTAGTTGTATCCTGGTACACAGTAGGATGAAGATGAAACCCCGACCTGGCCACCTCCAAGCCAGCACTCCCCACACCACAGCGAGCAGCCACACAAGCAAACTAAACAACGTGGACCCGCTTTAGTCACGGAGCCTGTGGGATTACAACACCTCCTACCTCTACCAGACCCCATAGAGAAAAGACAAAGGAGCCCATTTTGAGGTCGGTCTCCTGGAGCCAGTAAAGACACAGAAAACAGCAAGTTAATTGTCCACAGTACTGCCAGGAAGGAGACACAAATACAGTCCGGGTAGACGGTTGCCTGCTTAGTGTATTACCACTCTGAGGTCCAAAGTCCCCCTTAGGCCACACCCTCCTCGGTGACTCCAACTTTTACCCCAGATTCTCGTGTAAAACACTGCAAGGTGTCTTCTGTTGGAGGAATTCAAAATACTGCGGCAATCAGCAGAGAAGTAAGGACCCCACCGAGGGGAATCACGGCAGGTCACCCCACAGGGCAGGGTAAGAGCTGGGGTGGGGGTCCATGGTAAGAACTGAACCCATTGCCTGAGGCAGTCACTGTGAGACCGTAGGCATGCCATGCCCTCTCTGGGCCAGTCCTCCCAAGTCAGAACTTGGGTGTCATCCTGAACTCTGCCGTCTTCCTCATCCCCCACAGCTAATTAGGCACCTGATCAAGCCTCAGACCAACCTCTGTAATTGATCTTCAATCTGTCCCCTCCTTACATTAGTTTTGCACTTCCCACATCTCACCCGATTACTGCACTAGCTTCCCGGATGGCACCTACCCCCGCCTCCAGGTGTTCCCCATTCTATCCATCCTTCCAGCCAGAGGGATTTTTCCAAAACACACATCTGCTGGCCTCACCTCCCTGATCACCTGGCCCCTGTATCCCTCAGGGTAAAGTTCAATCTCTTTGGCTTAGCTCTCAAACCCTGTGTCTGCCTTCTGCTCTCTTCCTGGCTTATTCTCCAGCCATTTGGAACATTCACCCTTTGCCTGTATTTCCCTGAATGCATTGTGCTATTTCAGGACCATGTACACTGTCGTTCTCTCTTCCTTAGAAGACTCTTCTCCTTTGATAACCCCTACCAGTCCTTCAAAATTCAACTCAAATAACACCTCTTCTAGGAAGCCCTCTCAGATAATGCAGTCTGACTTAGATGCCCTCTCCTTTCAGCTCCCTAGCTCCCCTATACTTCCTTCTATTGTTGGTCTTTCTTTTCTGTCTCCTGTACTAAGTTTCCTAGAAAAGAGGAACTAAGCCCAGACAGGGCCCAGTTGATTTTTGTATCTGTAGCAATACCTAGGTGCCTGGCACAATGCTTGAAACACAACAGGAATTTCTGGACAGAAACATGAGTGGGTTTTCACCCTGGGAAATAGGTCCCTCTGATCACAGGTTAGAGGATCTTTAAGCTTTGGGTGTCTGTAAAGGCTCATCAGTCTACTAGACTGAGTTCAGTTACTATGGGAACTGCTCCTTCTACTTGACCACACTCTTGCTTTATGAGGTCCTATGTGGTCACAGTGAACTTTCTTGACCCTGAATACCAGTGACCACAAGTGATGAGCGGCCCCTGGAAGCAGTTTTGTGGTCACAGTAGGGGATGGGAACAGGGAGGGCAGCCAGAGGCCCCTGAGCTCCAAGATTGATGACCTCTGGGCCAGGGCCGCTGAAGGCTGTGCTGCGCAGGGCCTGTAGGGCCAGCCAACCTCAGTAGTCCTTGCCTGAACGCTTCTACTTCTGCCTGCTCATGAGTTAGTTCTCAGTTACTGAAGAGTCCAGTCTTGTGAAATGTGTTTGGTTTCAAGTTTCCTGTTGTTGGTCTAGTATTTAAAAACTGCACCCCACCGTGCTCCCTGAGAGAGATAAGGTACCTGTGGTCTGAATAAGAAGCTTCTTGCAGTCAGTCTCTATGTGCAGAAAGCCTGATAGGTGAAATGAAAGTGAGGAAAGGGACACTTTCTGTGGCATCATTTCTTTCCTAGGAGCTCAGAGTTTTCTACAGCAAGAGAAGGGACGAGGGCCAAACGGGCACTGAGCCCTTCCCGGCAGTGACATCAGAAGGGACTGGGCTCCTTCTTCCTAAAATGATTCTCCTCCCTCACCCCCTCACTGACCTTGAGATCAAAGTGAGCAATTTTCTTGGCATGAAGGTAGTTCACACCGTCCAGGATCTGCTTGATGAAGCTGGTAGCCTCCTCCTCACTCAGCGACTCCTTCTGGGCCAGGAAGTCGAAGAGCTCTCCTCCCGACACTCTGCAAGACACCGGTGTGGGGTGGGGCCCAGGCCCAGTCAGACCTGTGTGTCAGGGAGCCAGGCCAAAGGGGGCAGCTCCTGAACCTGACCCCCACCATCTGGACATATGGCAGGATCCCCTCACCCGTCTCTGGGGCTTTGTCCAGCCAGCACCAGGGACTGCCTTTTCTTCTATTCGCTGTGTTCTTCCCTTTGGATCACAAGGGTATGAGCCACTCTTAGGGCGTTACCAGAAGGGCCTCTGGTTACCCTAGGTGTTACCTCTCCCCCACCACGACTGAGGTAGCAGAGGACAGAAACAAGTACTGTGGGATGACAGAGAAGAACATATGCTGGGCCAGCAGCTGGACACCTAGGTTCCAGTCCAGCCCTGCCACTGACCTTGGACAACTCCTCTCCCCCTCTCCAGTCAGACCTCAGTTTCCCCATCTGCAGAATGAGCAGAAGAAGTAAGATGGCCCCTAAAGCCCCTTCTTGGATTTTATAAAAGATGGCCTCTTCAGAGTCAAAAATCTAGACATGGTCCCTAATTGAAACGTAAAGACCTATCTAAAAACCCAAAAGTGCTACTTTTGTCCTCACACTCCACACTCTTGCACCTTATGGTAGATATGGCAGGAATGGAGACCCACGGCGCAGAACAACCTCTCCTATAAATGCTAGTTTACAGTTTTAGCTGGATTAGAGATTTAGGGTTGCCAGATACAATACGGGATTTTTATTTGCTAAATCTGGCAACTCTACTGGGCTTGTCTGTCCTCTGACAGACGCTGTGGTATTCAGCCAGGATGTGCTTCTTGGGCGCTGGGTCAGAGCCAAGGGTCATCCCAGGGAAAAATGTCGGGGAGGGATCTGGGCCAGGGGGATCACCTGGAGACTTGTTCAAAATGCAGATCCCAGGTCCTACCACAGATCCTACCAAATCAGATTCTCTAACCCCAAAGCTTTGGAACCCATATTTTTACAATAACATAATATTAGTAATTAATATTCATTGACTACTTACTCTGTGCATAATGTGTGCTTTATGCACATTATCTCATTTAACCATCATAATACCTTGTGAGCTAAGTACTAGTATTTTCCTATTTCACAGTTGAAGGAACAGAGGCTCCGTGAGGTTAAGTGACTTGCCTAAGGTCATAGAGCTAGTAAGTGGCAGTCAGGATTCAAACCCAGGAAGAATGACTTTCAACCACTATATCATACTAAGTGTCCTCAGATGATGCTTATATGGCTAGAATGGCCTCTGTCCCACTTTGGGGAATCACTCACTCCCTGCCACCTAGTTCACCCTAAACGGCACCAAAATTTCCTTTTCTCCTTTCTTTAAAAATGCCCATGGGGCGCCTGGGTGGCGCAGTCGGTTAAGCGTCCGACTTCAGCCAGGTCACGATCTCGCAGTCCGTGAGTTCGAGCCCCGCGTCAGGCTCTGGGCTGATGGCTCGGAGCCTGGAGCCTGTTTCCGATTCTGTGTCTCCCTCTCTCTCTGCCCCTCCCCCGTTCATGCTCTGTCTCTCTCTGTCCCAAAAATATAAATAAATGTTGAAAAAAAAAAAAATTAAAAAAAAAAAATGCCCAGAAGCACCCATGGACACACTAATCAATCTCAGCATCCTGAAAAACAGAACAACTGGACACAATGAGGTACAACAATAAGTAGACAGCAACACTTATGACACCTACATCTGCTTAAGCCTCTTGTTCAGTGCTACCCAACAGAACTTTCTACAGTGATGGAAATGCCCTCTATGAACACCGTCCAATATAGCAGCCACTAGTCACACGTGGCTACTGAGCATTTGAAATACGGCTAGTGCAACCAGGAACTGAACTTTAAATTTTATTTCATTTGAAGTCATTTTAATTCAAAAACTGAAATGGTGTGAAATATTTTCCCGTAAACACAGCTTTGTTGTTTTGGTAGGATTGTATTTCATGCTAACCACTGCACTGAGAATGAACTAAATGTGCTGTAAGTGTAAGATACACATTGGGTTTTGAAGATGGAATACGGAAAAAAGAATGTAAAATATCTCATTAATGATTTTTATATCAATTACATGTTAAAATGATAATATTTTGTACATATTGGATTGAATAAAAATATTAAAATTAATTCACCTATTTCTTCTCACTTCTTATTTAATGCAGCTACTAGAAAATCTAAAATTGAATATACAGTTCATATTATATTTCTATCGAACAGTGTCAATATAAAGGGTATCTCATTTAGATCTAACTATTAGTTTACAGGAAATACAAGACATAGAGGAGGAAGTTAACTAATGGCATGAGGCAGGAATAAGCCAAATACAGACTGTGAGACAATCAATGGGACAAATGACCTAGTTTTTCCAACATTATTCTCTCTCCTTTTGCGTATGTTTGAAATCCACTATAAGTGAACAGGAAACTTCCGGGGGGAAGACTCCATGATCTCCCTCAGCCGCGCTCCCACATAGACCATGATCACCTGGAAGTTCTTTCATAACAGATGAGAAAGCCAAGGCCCACAGGAGGCGAAGGAGCTACACAAGGTCTCCCAGTAAGGCAGCGTGCGGTCAAGGCCGCGTCCAGGCCCCAGCCACAGTCCAACACTGTCTTCTCAGACTAACATGTGACGGGAGATAAGCCGCCCTAACTCTCTCAGCAAGGTCTCTCAGGAGCTGGGGGTAATGGGAACGTCTACCTGCTCACCTTGTTCTGAAGAGCAAACAAGTTGGTGCATTAAGGAAGGCACTCAGCACAGTGACCAGCACCTGACTGTGTCCCATCAGCAGGGACTTCTGCCATGATGTTATTATTTGCTTATCACATATGGTTAGTGCGGGCTTAAGTGGTGGGAGAAGGTGCTGGGAATGCAGGGAGGCTTGGGTAGGGTCTGGACTCAGGGAGCAAGGGGATGAGACAGGTGTAACAGGCAGGCATCTCTCTGCAAAGGCACAGAGATGGGGGCAAGCGCAGGGCATGTATGTGGCAAGAAGTCCCTGTGCGCTGGCCGGCTTCGGAGATGAGCTGCAGACCTGCTGGCGTGCTGGTTCTGCCACTGACTACCAAGTCACTCTCCACCTCAGTCTTCTCTCATCTGTCAAATGGGGTTGAAAATATCTCCCGTTAGTAGACAGACAAATGCCAGAAGCCTCTGTTCCTGCTGGGGTGTGAGCTTCTCAAGGGCAGGAGCCATGAATCAGATCCTCATCCTCAGGGCTGGTGTCTACCACGTGACAGATGCTGAGTAAATATTTAGAGAAAGTGGGGCGGGGTTGTGGTAAAGGGGTGAAGAGGGAATGAGGTGAGAAGGTGCAGGGGTGCATACTATCTGCTCGAGCCACAGTGCCCCTCTACTCAGTCAGCTGGGTGTGGCCTAAAGCATCTGCCTTGGTGTTGGCAGCGAGGCTTGTGCACTACTTTTCCATGTGTTTCATGGGTGAGGCCATCCTCTGCCCCACCCCTACCTGGGCAGGTGCTGGAACCTGAACCCCTCTCACCGGCTGAAGCAGAAACTCTGAGTCTGCTCTGCAGACCCAGGTCAAAGGGCCAGGACAGTGGTCCCAATCCTTCCCTAACACAGACCCAACCTTCCCCTTGGGGTGCAGCACGTGAGAGTCCCAGGGCTGAGCTTTTCTTCTTGCAAAACAGGAATGAGGAAAAAAACCAGCCTCACTGCCCCCTGGGAGTGGGGAATCTCGCTGTAGAGTTGGACAAGTGCTATGAGACCCTCGATCAAGTCTCGGAAGTAAATAACACGCACCATACTGTCATGAGGCATAGCAGTGGCAGAAGGGTGCTTGGTTCCGAGCTGGCCACCGGAGCAATGCGCCTTCCCAAGCATTCTCTCACTTGAGACTCATATCCACCCTGAGGGTAGACGGAACTTCTGGCCTGACTTTTCAAATGAGGAAACTGAAGCCCCCAAGAGAGCAAGTGACTTGCCCAAGGTCGCACAGTAAGCCACAGAACCAGGAGTCACAGCCAGATCCTCTCAGCCCCAGTCCACTGTGTGTTCCTCTCGCCACATTGTCTCCACATTATAAAGTTTGAATGGGTGCAAAAAGGAAAGCTCAAGGCCACCCCAAGTACTGGGTAGGCCTCTGACATCCCTGTTGAGCTGCATTTGAGCCCTCATCACACATGTTACCTGTCTGCCTCTCTCCCCAGCTAGGTTATCTTTGCTTCCCCAGCACCTTGTGAAACAAAGACATTCAATAGAAGGTGGGTGGATAAAAGAACAAAGGGGGGGGGGAAACATTAAAAATATCAACATGATATAGCATATTCTATAGCATATAAAAGTGAAGGCTCAGCATCTGCAAGAGACCTGTCCAGACCTGCTCAAATCCACAGGGCCCCCCTGAAACACAGGACCCAGCCTGGCCCTTGTTTTCTATACTTCTAGCCCCTGCTGGATCCTATGAGGCTGTGGCCTCGGGCACACCCTACCCTTCCTACCTTAAATAGAATGCTGCATAAGTGTAAAAGAATCTTATGATAATGTGGATGTGTCCTGTCACCTAACACCACTGATGTGAAGGCCCAGGCTGGGTGAGGACTTTAGGGGACAGTAATCAGCCATTTTGTTTGAAGGTGTGATCTGAGCAGGAGACTGGGTGAGACATGGTCTCCTTTGGATCCCAGCCACGGTGGCCCTTAGAATATTCCTCAGAGTCTTGGAATGGTGGAGGCTGATGAGCCCACAGGGATAAACATCCAAGTCTGGACACTCAGGCTGCGGACACTCACATCAGTGCTCAGGCAGCTCTCCTCAAGGTTTTGTTCATTTTTCCTCTAACATAGTTTTTCCCAAGGGTTTCTCTTCCCCGGAGCCATTCCCCATCTCCTCCCAAATTTCTCTCCTCTCACATCCCAAACCTCTTCAGCTTAAAGATGAAAAGCAAAACCCAATAGTCTGGGTCTCTTCTCCTCTCCTCTCAGCATTCCCAGGATCAGTCCCCTTCCTGCTAAGCTGACCTTTGCCTCTTTCCTCCCCACAGGTTGGTCTGCTTGCTAGAAAACCTTTTCAGATGCTTTCTTGGATGTGTACTGAAATGATCTGTGTAGACAGTGATTTGGAAAGGATGCTGCCAGAGCCACTTGGGCCCAAGAAGGTGCACTCAAGTTAGGGCACTGGAAAGCACTGCTGACCCCGTGGGGTGATCTGCCAACCCATTCTCTGGTATGCAACCACACGGGTATCACTTTCCATTAGCAGGGAGCCCAGGAGGCTCCAGAGAGGTCAGGGGCCTGGATAAGAGGCCTGCCAACTCCCCCGCCCCCCCGGGGCTGACTTACATTTTCAGAGCAAGCTCCACATATGACATGAATTAATCTACCGAGATTTTGAAAATATTCTTTATGCCATACAAAAGTCAATTTATACGGCAAAACCAAATCCTTCCCATCCCTGCTTTCAACAGCCCTGACCAGAGGCAGCTATTGCTAAGGAGGTCATGGATGGAGTGATGACAGTTTAAAGGGACTCAACTCAGGGCTGGGTATGTCTTCTGAGTACTGGTCACTTTAGCAGAAAGCAAAAGCAAGCCCTGCACCAGACAACAGTTGCTGAGAGGGACAATGGGATTGGGGCAAACCCATCCACAAAACCTGCAATTCCAACTGAACAAGGCGGGCACTGATAGTCATGTTTAAACACTGGGCAAACCCACTAACCTGTTAGGGCACCGTGAGGACCAGGCAGTCAAAGGCTGCTGATCAGCCCAACAGGGGTCACCAAATCCCAACACAAAAGCCCATGAAAACCCCTTCTCTCTTGGGAGGTCCTCCCTGGGACACCCTTGTCACACATTGTTCCAGCACCATTGCTAGCCTTAGCAATCCCCAGCACTCCATAGTCAGACACCCCAAGAGCAGTGAGACAGCTTCAAAGTAAAAGAGGTGATAGAGAAACTATGAATAGACAGAACTGAGCAAGCACAGCAGCTCAAGCAAGTCACACTGGGAGTACCAGTGTGACAGCTTGATGGTAGGGATGGTGACAACTCACTGGAAGAGGGCACATAACTGTTGCTGACCATGAGCCCTGCTGGGAGAAACAGGGACATCTCAAGAGCATCCCAGACCCCAACTCCTAGGGTTCTGCAAACCAGGAGAAGCAGGCAATTTCTCTAGCAATTAAAGAATAAAACACTTTAATCTTATAATTATAAAAATGACAACAACAAATCATTTGATAACTATAAAGGCAAATGAATAATGAATCCTGTTTTAGAACAAATGGCCCAGGGCTGACAAGGCTGCGGGCAAACTGGAAACCGCTCCTATATTGTAGGTCCTACAGGTTAACTAATACCGTCCCATGAAAGTGAGGATATCAAGAGCCCTCCAAATGTCAGCCTAGTCATCCCCTTCCTGGGGATTGATCTGAAAGGATTAATTCAAAAGAAAAGTGGGAAATTATGGGAAGGAAGTTGTTTTCTGGCACTGAAATTTGTCATGGTTAAAAGCTGGAAAATCAAAACGAAATGTCCAACGATAGGGATATACGAGTATGTAATTCAATGAAACATGATACAGTAAGTTAAAAGAAAAAAAAAACTATTTGTGAAATTATGCTGAAGGGGAAAAGTAGAGCAAGAAATTGTGCAAGTACGATGATTGTATACAAATAGATAAAGGCCGAGAGGAACCACAGAAAAACATGAATAGCTATGTTTGGATGGTAGGATTGTAAATGCAATTTCTTTTCAGTTGCTGGAAAGTTTTTTTAAAGCAGTGGCCTAGCCTCCCCAGCGGGGGTAAGCTTGTCGCTCCCTGCTGGGAACACTGTGCCAACTGTTGACCCTTAGCCCTGCGGCATGCCACACCTCGGGCTGTCCACATGGCTGACCGCACCTGTGGGACGCCCCCAGGCTTGCTGAGTCAGGCAGCGGCATATGCCAACTAGTCCAAGTGGCTGAGAGGTCTATGGGAGAGACCGGAGGACGCTGGAGTGAAAGGAATAGCACGGGCGAGTCTATGCATTGAAACAGTGAGATGGATAATTTAAGCATCAATGCAAGAGTATGCAAATGCCCATCTGCTACATAAATCTATATCCTGGTAACGTCAGGGCTTAGTTCTCAAATTAGAATGACTTCAAATGTCAGGTGGTCCACCCAACTTGTGCGCAGGTTAAGGATGGCTGTCACATTTACAGATGGGAGCTGAAGCTCAGAGGAGTGAGGTGTCTTGCCCGAGGTCACAAAGTCAGGGATTTCTGAAACAAATGCTGCCACTCCTCTGCAACCAGCGGATCCATATATGCCCATGAGGCTCGGAACACTCTCAACACCAGGTTGTGCTGCTTGATTGCACACAGCCATTGTGACTTGTACAGTCCAACTCAAACTCTGTTGCCTGCCAAAGCTCTATCTCCCCATTCCATGGAGACACCTCCAGGAGGGACACAAGGTGGCCAATTCCTGGAGTCTTGGCATCATCAGACTATGATGTCTTGCCCAGTTAGGCCAGCATAATGCCATCTCACCTCATGCTCATAGCTGTCTGCACAAGCAGTGTGGACTCAAGCCCCTCCTCTTCCTGGCTCTAGGGTCTTATAAGAGACCTGGCCTCTCAGTGTTCTTGTCTGTAAAATGGAGATAGTAAGAGCTTCCGTGTGATAAGATTTTTATGAAGATTAAATAAGATAACAGAAGTGCTCAATATAGTGAATACCAAGTAACTCCTCTGTGTTAGGAGGACACTTCCCTCAATAGTCTTTGTGAGGACTGAACAGGAAGGCAAACAAGAAGCATCGACAAATGGTTGCCTTATACTAGGGCTCTCTAAATAATAGCTATTATTATGATAATGAAGGCATCAAACAGAACAAATGTGGGAATTTTTCCCAAGAAAGGGCTGGAGAAGGGCTTTGCAGAGCCTGAAGGATGTTTGTTCCTCTCCTCCTCATAGAGAAGACCCCTCCGGAACAGCCTCTCCTCCCCTCATACTTCGTTCTTACACCGCTCCCTACCCCCCACCATCCTCCCACATGCTCCGCCAGGAAACGACCCAGGGGCCAGCCATTGCCTCCCTTTTATCCCCAGGGTCCCATGAAAGCCAGACCCAGACCCTAGCCTTCTGTGCCTGATGCTCAGCAAACCCACCCACCTTTGGCCCAAGCTCAGAAGGAGGATGAGGGAGGCAGCAACCAACGAAAACCACCCACCATTGACTTCACCTTCTTTGGGCCAAGCTCATGAGGTCTGGTTGCCGCTGCCCTCTGGGACCTGTGTCTGAAGCACCCACCACCCTACCTGCCTCTGCTGCCCCCCATGGGTCCCAAACACCCACTCACAGCTCGAGGATGAGCACCACGTCGGTTCGGTTCTCAAAGACGTCATGCAGCGTGATGACGTTGGGGTGCAGCACCTGCCGCAGGATGCTCACCTCCCGCTCGATCTCCTCCCGGGACACGCCCCGCCGGCTGGCCCTGCTCTGCCGCTTTTTGATGAATTTGGCCGCGTATTCCAGCCCCGTGCTCTTCTCTCGGCACTTCTTCACAATGGCAAACTGGCCGCTGTGGGGACACAGACCAGCACAATCAGGGTGTAACTGTGTCCATCAAGGAAGTGACCAGTTGTCAGCCCCAGGCCACACTAATTCATTCTGCCAGAGTAGGACAAATTATATCACCAGCCTGCATCCTCCCCTGCCAGGTAACGAGTGGCTGAGAGGGGCCAGGTACTGGGCTTCCTTCTGTTCATATGAGTACTTTGCCTTTACTAGGAATGAATGCCAGTATTGTCATTCCCCGTGTACAGATGTAAACACCGAGGCCCTGAACGGTTTCCTATTTGATCAGGATGACACAGCTTCATTGTTCTTAAGTCTCTATGAGAACTCAAGTCCAGTATCCGCTAGATAAAATCACAATGTCCAGAGGTTTATACTACATAATGTAAAGATTAGCAAGGAAAAACATAAATATTGGTATGGCCAAAATATTAATGGTAACAGTTATTGAATTTGAGTCTGTCTTACCTGGACACAAGTATAAATTCATCCATTTATAATTGTGATATCTCTATATTCTCAGTTTGTACCTTTGCCCCCAACCTCCGCCCAACAAATAAAATTTCAATGACCTGAGCAAAGCAAGTCCTCAGTAAGGAGACAGAGAAAATACGAGAGTGATACACTTAATGTAAAGACAAGGCCAGAGGATTTGCTGGCTGGGTTGGTGGGATCCTGGAGGAGACGGGGGTGGGTGGAGGCAGCCTACACTGTTAATAACCATAAGGGGGAGTTGGTCACAGCGAGAGGGCTGATGGGACCATAGAATTGCAAAGTGTTAGAAAACTGAGGCACAGGAGAGGTCAGTGACAAGCATGAGGTCATCACAGAGCTAATGGCCAGCTCAGGTGCCCAGCTCACTGTCCACAAAGCCACTAAGTAGTTATAGAAGTCAAGAATATGCTAAGTGCCCCTCAGGTTTGGGCCTAGAAATGCTTCATTCTGGAGACCAATACAGTAGCCATGGAATAGTGTCCATGCGAGTGGCAGGTGGCCCTGAGCCAGCTTCTCTGAGCGTTCCAAGGACAGCCCACTCCACAGGGGAGGGAAGCAGCCTTCTGTTCACCATCTCAGTTCAGGTGGTCAGGATGGGTGGGCAGCTCTAAGGGCCTGGAGACGGCCCAGTGGTCACCCTTCCTGGCGTCTTCCTACTCCCCTTCTATCATTCCCACAAGTGCCCCCACGTTTGCTCACAATACCCACTGCTAAGACAGAACTCAGAAAGTTTGCAGGTTCAGCTTAATGGCTTAATAAGCGATGCCATACTCCACACTTAAGATGTACTGTCTTTGCGGCTCTGGGGTAAAAGAGTTACACACGATGAAATTCTCGGGATATTTGCCTCAACCTCAGAAAATAGCATCACATCTGAACCACTCCATTCCTAGAATAATCCTCAGTGAGACAGTCTTCAAAATAAACCTAAGTGACAAAAAAAAAAAAGTCAAGTAGAGCAAGCAAGGAATAGATATGCCAACACTTAAATAGCATTCTATGGCAACCACCTTAGAGACATCACCAGATACATATTCCTGTATGTCTCCATCCCCTCATCCTTCATTCACTTTAGTGCTGCCTGAGTGTCTGGTCTGTGCCAGGTCCTGTGCAGGGCAAGGACCAAAGGCACAGATAACAGGTACAGAGGGAACTCTGGGGAAGGAGGGGCCCTGGGGCCTGGGCTAGGCTGGACAAGGATGGCTTTGTGGAACCAAATTTATATTCCATTGTCTACTAACTCTAGTTTCAGGGGTGCCTGGGTGGCTCGGTTGGTTAAGCATCCGACTTCGGCTCAGGTCATGATCTCATGGTTCGTGAGTTGGAGCCCTGTGTCAGGCTTTGTGCTAACAGCTCAGAGCCTGGAGCCTGCTTTGGATTCTGTGTCTCCCTCTCTCTCTCTACCCCACCCCTGCTGTGCTTTGTTTCTCCGTGTCTCTCAAAAATGAATAAAAGTTAAAAAAATTTTTTTAAATAAAGTTTCAGCTATTTATGCCCCAAATATTGGCTCCTAGTTGTCTACACACAGGAGCTGACACAAGCGGAGTGAAGCCAGGCCTCCCAAAGCCAGAGTGAACACATTCAGGGAGACCTCTAACACTGGTCGCTTGGAGCTACTATGGGCCTCAGGGACATTGGGTCCCTTCGCGGGAGCCAGGAAACATCTGACAAAGCTTCCAGTCCCAGGCAACTGTGAGTCTCCGTGTCAAGATGGCCATGCTTTTCTTTTCTCTGACATCTTAGGGACCTGGCATCAGCAGTTTTGAGGGCAGACAGGGCTTACTCTTTCCAGCTGACTGATGGGAAAACCAAAGCTTAAGGATTTTAAGCATTTTGTTTAAGCCTACAGAGCACAGAGGTGGAGGTGCAAGGTTTTTATAAAGCAGAGCAAAATATTTCAGTCACCTTGAGATAGCCCCCTCGCTTTGTCTTAAGAGGGAAATAGAGGCATTTTTCTGTATCACATGACTTAAAAATTCCTCAAACTCTCAAAAACGCAAATGAGTGTTTGCTTTTCCTGGTTGAATTTTCCCCTTGTGAGAGAGAGCAGCTGTGGCAATGAGAGGTGACCGGGGGTCAGTCCTAATATGCAGGCAACTTCCTCACACCAAAAGGAGGTATTTTGAGAGCCAAATACCAAGCAGCACCCCTCATCTTCCCCTCTCTTCCTGGGGGAGGGATCCTCCACTCAACCTGCCCTGGGGAGCCCAAGGAGAGCTAAGGCCACCTATGGGTTTTCCCCTCTTGCCGGGCCACTACGGAGAAGAGGGGAGAATACGCTCCACTAAGGCCAGCCTCTTGGCTGCCAGGCTTTGGGCAGCAAAAGCAGCCTTCTGGGGCAGACAGGCCTGGACTCAGGAAACTTGTGCTGTCCCCTGGGGAGAGTGGCTCTCTGCTCTGAGCGTCAGTTTCCTCATCTGTAAAATGGGAATCATGACTCCCTACCAGGGAATCATGATGACTGGAAATACCTGCGATGTTGGCCCACAGTCAGCTTAAAAAATGATAGCTAGTATAACTGTTACTAGTGTATTGCTCACATGAAGGCCAAGCAAAGGCACCCCAGAAGTCACTGATTTAAATGGTGTGCAATATGCGGCCAGGGAATCAGTACCATTTTGAAAGTCCTTCTGATGAGTCTAGTGCATAACCTGATACAGGAATATCTTTGTTCTAAGCAGTTAACCAACTCTTTTAATCCTTGGAGCAACTGTCTGTAAACCGGTATCACCCAGGGAATTTATATCCCAGTCTCCTGGATCTGGGCTGCGTCCTGGGAACTGAGATCTTTAAAAACTTCCCAGGTGACTGATGTGCAGCCGGGGCTGAGAAACACCGCCTGACAACAGTCCTCTGATCATCTCCCTTTGACAGATAAAGATACTATACTGCTGTTACTCATTTTATTCCTTGTCCTTTTATCACCCTCTCCCTTAGTTCTTTGATTTGACATTCAAGGGAAGGAGTAAGGGGGAGAAGGGAAGGGTCGTCTCTCCCACCAGGAGTCTTTTGCTTGATGGGTCAGCTCCAAACCAAGACAGAAGATTACCCTAGGCTTTGGGGGTAACAGGAATGGAAGTTTACATTCAGACACACCCTGGTCGCAAATGCAAAAATCAGAGCTGAGGTAAAAAAAAAAAACAAAATAAAATCAGAGCTGAGGTGACTCTGTATTATGCCTGGTAATGGGCAGGTAAAAGCAGTGATGGTGATGGGCCTTCATCTGCCCATTAGGATGTTCCAAAGATAGGAGTTCAGGCCCCACAGTGCAGAAGTTGCCCAACTTGGCTATGGGGGCAAGAGGTAGGCAGCGAGGAGCTCTCTAGGTTAGGACAGAGACCCCAGGGTGTTATCCAGAGAGGGAAGAGAGGGAAGGCACCCAATCTCTAACGAAAATCATTATCAACATTAAGTCAGAAGTTATGGGAATGCTAAAACATGGGGTACATATGCACAAAGCATGCATATTCCAGTTCCCCTCCCTTCATACCTAACCCATGGTCTAATGCAGCAAAGGGCTGGCAGTCAGGAGGCCTAATTCCTGGTCCTGCCATCAAAGCCTCATGGGTTGGGACAAGGAACTGCCTTCTCAGTTTGTGTTTCTCCACCTGTCCCCTGAAGTCTCACCTCAGAAGGCTTCTGTCAGAAAGCTCTAAAAAGCCCACAGCAAACTGAACAGAGGTAAAGGCCTTCCCTTCATTCTCCATGTGGGTTCCAGTCAAAGCCCTGCCCTGACCCTGGGCAGCCTGTTCAACTCCTTGGGCCTCAGTTTCCTCCTTTGTCAAGTGGGGGTGAGAAAACCTAGACTGGTCACGTCACAGGGGAAATCACAAATAATGCCTGAGAAAGGGCTTTACTATCCAGCCCTGTAGAAAGGCAGGAGGCATGGGCGGGGCGGGGGAGGGGGGTTCAGTGCCGAAGGCTGGCGTGTGAAAGTCACGTGGCCTGGTTTAGTAAGGGACAGTCAATCCTCCAGACACACACTACCTTCTGTGCTTATGCCAGCACACTCTTCTGCAATTAAGTCAGGAACACACCCCTCTTCCCAGGCAGAGGGCTCAGCTCCTCACTCATTCAGCACCCCCTGAGGATGAAGCAGGCTGCATCACGAGTGAGACAGATGGGCCTCATTTCAGAACACAGCAGGACCCAGGGTGATGCCCCACAAGGGTGTCCTAGTGTCTACCCAGGAATCAGATGAAAAGGCGTAAACCCAGAACAGTTTCTCAGTGCCAAAAACGATGTTACATCTCCAACACTAGCTCCTCAACTTCACGGAAGAACCTGGCTCAATCACCCCCAAATTCTTCACTGCCAAAGAATAACCCGAGCAAGACCCAGATCTCACACCGTTTAGCTTTTGTATAGCAATGTAGATACTACAACATTTATACCCAGCTTTTCTCTTTATAAACTAATCTTACATTCATTCTTTTAATATTTGCAGGTATCATTCTTAGTTCCATTTCACAGAAAAGAAAGCGGAGGCTTAGGGAAGTTAAGTGACCT